TACTCTATGAGCTTACAAGAGTTAACAGGTTTTACCATGGTGGCTCGACAAGCTTGCTCCAGCTTCACAAGAGTTCACAAGTTTCACCAGAGTGAGACTTGTAAACCGGAACTAGTGAAGCAGCGAAAGTGCAAAATGCCCCCCCCCCACCGAGGCCGAACTGAGCCTGATGAAGTTCCAACACTTTCGAGTTAGACATTTGAAAATCTTCTGAAGCCCAATGATACTAGCTGAAAAGGAACGGTGTACCAGGTTGGTAAATATGAAGTGCACAAAAGACGAGAGAAACTGGTTTCAACATCGTCGCCGCGTCCGTGGTGCGTATACCGCGACCGTGGCAATTTCGAATACCGGGAGCCCGGTCCACCTGAGCAGTTCCTATCTATAATTGCCCCCTTCAAGTCCAATACTCAGTTTTAGCTACCAGCGATTCTGAGAAGGAAACAAGATAATTGTGATCTTCGCAGGTGTGATTGTCGCCGGTGAACCTGGTACTGGGAAGACAACACAAGTGCCGCAGTGGTGTGCGGAGTACGCCCACCAGAAAGCCATCACCAACCAACCAAAGCTTGTAGCTTGTACTCAGACAAGAAGAGCAGCAGCTGTATCAATTGCGACCCGTGTCGCAGATGAAATGGATGTACAGGTGGAGTTCAGCTTTTCTTACTTTCAATCTAAACATGGCGCTGAGCTACCTGGCAAAGTTAGGTGGTTTGATTTCGTTTCACCGTCGTCGCTGTAAAACCCTTTCTTAACGACTAGATTTTTCAAGTTGGGTCAGGAACTCGGCTATTCCATTCGTTTCGAGGACTGTACCAGTGCCAAAACTGTATTGAAATACTGTACGGATGGTATGTTTTACAGTTTGTTCAGTTGCATGTGACATTTGGGTGCTTTAAATAGTTTTGGTATTAGTTATCGCTGAAGACACCGTCAAAACTGGTAGGTGGGCGGAGTCAAGTGGTGACGTCATTGGCGCCGCTTCCTCTCTCTTCTTTATGACAGGGAAGAAGGACGGAAGGAAGTGCTGACCAATGACCCCGCCCACTCGGAAATCCCGAACTGTGACCCCGCCACTCGGAAATCTCGAACTCTGTCTTAAGTCAGGCGGCTGGCTTAGATATAAAGGCTATCCTTCAGGGCGCCAAGCAATAACGCCACCATGGTGTGCAACAATTTTGCCAGCCATCAACCGAATGATCATATTTTTTTCCCCAGCCTTTTCCTGCAGCGGAACTAGGATTCAAGCCTTAAATCAAAGCAGCAGTAGACAGCAAGTATGTTAAGTCCAAGAGCCACAATGCCGAACTGCAACCGAAAACACCAATTTTTTCTTTGCCACATCTGATTGGCGATGATTAACGGTGTGCATGCTTGCGCGAAATGGTGAGTAACCCAAACGCCTGAGATGGAGGTATGGGCCATGTATAATGTTGACAGATTGACGAGAGGATTTTTTATACACTGATGTACTCATAGCACTGCTCAAGGTAAGGTTGAATATTTCCAGAAGTAGATTCTATAGACCTAACGTGATTTGGCGGGACGACGTGGCAGTGCAACCTCAGTCTTGTCCTCTGCAGATTCTGGAGTGTGTCAGGGGGGGGGGGTGGTGAGTCCCCAGCGCAGCCGCAGCTCCTCTCCGCCGATGGTTGAAGAGGTGAAACGACATAAATTGGTGGAAAACTGGCTGGGTCAAACCCCGCTGACACGCCAGTGACTGTATATTTGCCCTGCACGTAGCGTACAGCATCGTTGGGATCCTATCAGGGCGTCGTATTTGACCTTGAAAGCACTTTTTCTAGTCGCCATGAAGGGAATCTTTCCAGTTTTTGGTGTTTTTTTTTACATTGACACTCGTAATACCACACTCCCTTTCGCTCGACGCACAATCCCCAGATAGGTGGGATCTGGCAAGGTGGTAAATAAGTTGTGAGAGGAGAATAGTATTAAGAGAAAATCAAGGGCGAGGGTCGTACTGACCGCCATTCCTCTAATCCCGATGCTGTACCCCGCCTGCTGGGTTGGGTCCGTTGGTTCGCTGACACTAAGCACTGATATAAAGTGATATAGGCGACCTTTGCTTATGTGACCCCTCAAACCGTACTTTTTTCAACTAGCAGGATGATTTTCACCTCAAAACCTGCTTCGTACTGGACTCTTTAGTATTAGAAGTATAAGAACTCGATCGTTCAATGAAACCGAGTTCACATTTCCGGAAGGTCATGCTCCATCGCTATCCGTTTGGACAGCTGCAATGAAGTGATCGTATTAACAGTTGCAGCGGTCCAATGAATAGCGATGGAGCCCGTTTAGTTGAAGACGTGCGACCACCAAATCTCGAGTAGCGAACTATAAACGCGGCCTTTGTCCGTGCACAGCTACCACGTTCGGCTCAGATGTACGATTGTGGTGAATAGAAGCAATACAATATTTTTTAGGAACTCATAAATAAGCGAAATGACATTAAAATCGTCATTCTATCTGCAACGCATACCGGGGGGAAGATCCTGCGTCATTTTGAAGACTATCGAACGATAACGATCCGTCCCCGAGCATTTCCCATAAACATCATTGTACGTTTCCAGTTCCCATTTTGCTCGAAAGAACAGTCCATACAGTATGAAAATTTTATTCTATAAAATTTCAGTTCAAAGAAGAACCAGTAGAGAATTTCTTAGAAGCTGCGATCAGAGCTGCCGTGAAGATTCATATATCTGAGGATGTTGGAGGAGACATTTTGCTGTTCCTCACAGATAAAGAGGTGAGTACTTGTTAGCATAGTAGTCAGGCATTTCAACCTATAAAAATCCTAGAAAGTTATAGAAGCTGCCGTAGTTGGGGAAGGGGGGGGAGGGAGACAGGGTAGGGCGCAATGGCGCCACAGAGCGATTATTTCCACTCTCAAGACTCGGCCTTGCCACAGCATAGAAGACCAGAGCCCATCGGCTCGAGCCCTCGGCTCTGTGCCGGGGACGCGCTATACACATGGCTGGGAGACGCCACTGGGAGGGTGGCACGCGCTGTCGCCAGGTGAAAATTGCTGCGGTATACAATTGCTTCTCAAAATTCCTCCCATTGTGCCACCCCTCCCAGTGGCGTGTCCTAGCCGTGTGTATAGCGCCGTTTAAACAGCAGAAATCAACAACTTAAAAAATTCTTAAGCTAAGTATGACCCCTCCCCCCTTCCTCCACGACCAAACACGGCCTCCTGCTCCTGCTGGGGGGGGGGGTTCCCCATGTGACGTGCCCTGCTAAGGGTCCAAGAAGGGATCCAGTTTTTTCGAGCCACCGTCTGTTCCCTCCACTTCAACTCACTAGCGCGAAGCTAGCCATATGGTTAAAGATCCTTCTTCCTCTTCTCTCTAACAACGGAACTGATCAAGCTATTTATTCTCGTAGTGTCAGGTAAATCGTGTAAGCGGCGGTTGGCAGAGCCGGTCCGGTTCACTACTCCGGGCGCTCCTGGGTCAGCCGACTGGCGTCTGGCTAGCCTTACAAAAGGGCAGCCCCTCTCACTGTCCAGCGAGCGCTCTGCCTTGGAATACGGTAAAGAGCGTTGCGGTTGCAGGTGCATACGCGACACAGTGCTCGCCTTCTTCCTCACGCATTCAATTTGGAGATGATTCAGGAAATCGAGGAAGCCTGCAAGCGAATAAGGAGTGATCTCGCAAAGATTGACCAGCCAGCGGGTACACTGGATTGTATCCCACTTTATGCCGGTCTTTCGAAACAAGAGGTGCAGCGGATCTTCAAACCAGAGCCTTCAAACCAACCTGGAGCAACAGGTAAATTGCGCTCTTCCTTCTTATTGTGTATTTTGATAAGTTTGTTTCCTAAAACTTGCACTAATTTTTTTCCACAAAATTGAATCCTAGCGGCGTTTTTGGTTTAGGTCGTAGATGTATCATTGCTACGGACATTGCGGAAACCTCACTGATAATTGACGGTATTGTGTTTGTAATCGATCCAGGATTTGTAAAGCAAAAGGTCTATAATCCAAGTGATCGAACCGAAACGCCATCGGTTCGTCTCATTTCGAAAGCAAATGCTATACTACGGGCTTATCACGCGGGTCGTTCGGCGTCTGGTCAGTTTGGGTTTCGTTATAAATATTTCAAGGTTTGAGATCCTCCCACAGCTTAGAGAGATCAGAGGTCCTTCAACACTATTTGAATGACGAATCCTTTCTGTGCCCGCCTTGATACGCGACACGCGCGCCACAGCCACGCCATACGCCACATTGCCCGCTGCACGCAAATGATGGTCATCCGGCGTGTAGTATGGCGTGAGGTGTGGTTATTGCGTGCGAACAGTGGGCGAGTCATATTACAGTCCTCATCTCATTGCCGGCCGCCGTGTGGGCGTGCCAGCCACGTTGTCATTCACCCAGAAGGAAGTTGCGCCCACACTGTGTGAGCCGTTACTCAGCTTTTTTGTTGCAACGCGTATGGCAGACAATTAAAGTGGTAGAAAGCGGGGAGTAAATACAAAGCGAATAGTACAGTAATGCACTGCCTCGCTTCAAACTGCGTGCAGAACGATTTATGTCCACGCCACAAGCAGGCGCCACTGGCCACGCCCCACCGGTCCCGGCTTAATGATGCAGGACTGTACATGAAAGGTATTCCTTGGCTATATGACGACACAGCTCATGGGAGGGCTGCCTAGAGCGCCACGCTGTTGGGCCGCTGCGCTTGGCCGTCGTTTTTCAGCCGCATCGTGTACGAGTTGGTCGTGTCATCGGTCGTCTCGACATGACAATGGATCATGGGGGGGATGCTGTTGAAGGGACGTGAAATAAGGCTGCGTTTATACTTTGCGGCAGCGTAGCGTAGCGTAGCGCAGCGTAGCGTAGCGTAGCGTAGCGCTTCCAGCGTACGCCAGCGGCAGTGCCGAAGAGAGGATGCATATCGATCTAGCTTCACCAGCGTCACCAGCGGCACGCGCCGAGCGTACGTAGCGGAGCTAGGCACGTATCCGCCAGCGTTTCTCAGCGGTCTTCACCAGCGTTTTAGCAAGCGTTTTGTCTCAGCGGCAGGGGAGTAGAGACTATGGGAGAGCTGGAGGGTACAAAGCACATCGATTGCGCGTATCTCACTCGCCCTTAGTCTCTACAATGCACATCGCTTCTGCGTCTCCGACGGCCCATAGTCTCTACGATGCACATTGCTTCTGCGTCTCCGACGCCACATAGTCTCTACAATGCACATCGCTTCTGCGTCTTCGACGGCCATATGGTCTCTACAATACAAGCCGACTCCGCTTCTCTCACGGCCACATAGTCTCTACTCCCCTGCCGCTGCAAGCGCTAGCAAAACGCTGGTGAAACGCTGGAGAAACGCTGGAGAAACGCTGGCGTACGCTAGCGTACGCCAGCGTGCCGCTGGTGACGCTGTGATAGCTAGGATTCGATTATGCATCCTCTCTTCGGCACTGCCGCGCTGCTGCGCTGCTACGCTACCCGCTTGCCTCCGCGTACGCCTACGCTACGCTGCCGCAAAGATATAAACGCAGCTCCTAACGAAAATTCCGCGCCGATCTTCGCCGCGCGCGAAGGTGAGCAGCGTGACCTGAATAGCTCACGATAGAATCGCCCGTCTTTCCAACTATCTTACGTTTCTAGCTTCATTGCCACGCATCTCTTTCAGTGGCAGGAAAACGACATTCCTGCCGCGGCGGACCCTTCGCAAATGGGAACCATCTAGATTCCATGGTCAACTCATTCTATAGCCAGCCTTCAAAATCAATTTCGATTTTCAGGGAAGTGTTATCGTCTATATACTTATGAAACATATCAAAGAATGGGGGAGCACCCAAGTCCAGAGATTCAGCGGTAAGTCGTGTGACCTTCTCGAATATTTTGAGAACCTTATCATGGGTACCGCAAAGTGTTTTACTCCAAAACTAATTGACACGGTTTCAGGTCCGACCTGAGTTCAGTGGTGCTCTATCTTAAAAAACTTGCTATGAAATGTTTTTATGACCTCGACTTCATGGATTTCCCATATAGTACGGCAGAAGACCAGGCAGTACAGTTATTAAAGAGCCTCGGAGCTCTTGATAATGATGGTCAAGTAACGGAGCTTGGTTCAATGATGGCGCAGTTCCCTATACATCCGCAGCTAGGTAGGTTTTCACGTTTTCATTGACATTTGCATAACCTTTGCATTTTTTCAATCCACAAGGGATCGTTTCTACATTGTTTCCCTAATTTTTTACCAATTGTCTTATTCTTATTTTATGCAGCTAAAGCGCTTATAACTTCGGCGGAGCTGAACTGTTCGAATGAAATATTGTCAGTTGCTGCAATGCTATCAGGTGAGGGTATAGAGTGATTTAAAAATAAAGGTTTTCCGCGGGTTGAGTGCGGCGCCAACCGTTTTTCACCACGGCGCAGTTTGTCGACGGGGGGCATTCTGCTTTCCATAGATGTGCCGACCCATCTAGGTAGCCTTTTCTCGAGTTGACACGTTTCAGGATGGTGGCTAGACGATCTTACTCCAGCTTCACAAGCGTTCACAAGTTTTACCAGAGTGAGATTTGTAAACCGGAACTAGGGAAGCAATGATAGTACAAAATGCCCCCCCCGTCGACAAAGCGCCTTCACCAGTTGTGGAAACAAGCATGAGACCACAATTGATGGAGAACTGGCTGGCGCTGCGCTGAAGCCAGATCGTCTCCTCCCCCTGAAATGCTCAAGCGTCCGCATCGAACAAGACTGTAAAGACAGTGGGAGGAGGACGGGAGAAAAAATCAACAATCAAAAATCCCAGCACACCTTACGCCCCCCCCCCCTCTCTTTATCGCGTTGAGCAATCGCTAACGTGCCCTGCTTATAGACCTGCTCTTATGATTTATAATTTGCTCTGTAAAGCATCCAGTCGTAAGAACAAGGTAGCGCAGCGTGAGCTCCAATCTAATGATTGTCTAGAGTACGTAGCTGTTAGAAGCTGGGAGAGATGTGAATCAGAAGAACCTTTCAGCGGCGCTGCGCAGAAATCGGCAGCCGTACAAATGCACTCTCCACCCCTCCCCGCCAGCTGACACGCCCCGGCATCCGCAATGAATAAGACTATTACATGAAACAAATTTCAGCTCCGCAGTGCTTCCTTAGACCAACAGGAAAGGAAGAGGAAGCCGATGCAGCGAAAGCGCGATTTGCTCACATTCATGGAGATCCTCTTGCACTCTTGAATGTTTACAACGCTTTTATACAGAGTGAGTGGTTCATTCTCATGATGTTTTCAGGTAAGAGGAACCAAAGAAGACATTCGGGGTCATTTTGTATCTCTCCTTTTACTTCGTGATTTTCTTACGCTGTAGAGTGCGTTCATACTTCGCTATCCGATCGCTCGGATCACGCAACCCTAGCAATCGGATTGTGAAGTTTGAACGGGCTCTTCGGGTTTTTGAGGAACTGACGTCTCTATTTTTTTCTGATCAAAAAGGGTGTAACACAGATATTTCAGATAATGCGACAGAGCAGTGGTGCAGTGAAAATTTCATCAATTATTATGCAATGAAGAGTGCAGAAAATATTCGTACACAGCTCGGCAGGATCATGGATAAGGTTGGTACCTGCGATGTTCTATCTCGTTCAGGTATGGTGTAAGAACAACCTGTGGAGCTAGGGTAATGTAAAAAAGGGGAGGGAGGGTAGGCAGATGACATAGCGGCGCAGCTCACAATAATTCTACTCATTCGCCCTCATCAAAATAGTGGTCCCTTCCTCTTCCCAGGCCAGGGGGGGTCGCACGCTGATTCCAAGGGGGGTCGTGAATGGTCGCTCGAGGAGGGTCATATTTTGCTGCAAGAAAAACTTTTGATTCATATTGTCGAGTTTCCCCCCGTTCCACAGATACATAACCTCGTCATCCGGGCAGTTGATTAGGGCGGTCGTCAACGGGCCGCAGCGCGTGCCAGGAACTATTTGCTTTTCCAGGCTAATTTAGTCATTTTTTCCACCTTGTGAAGATAAGGAGCTGCTAATCTGGGAAAAAGTAGCCAAAACAGTGAAAAGTTGGAAAAAATGACTAAATTAGCCTGGAAAAAGCAAATAGTTCCTGGCACGCCTGCGCCCGTTACACCGCCCTAATAATGCCCGATGACGCAGGTATATACCTCCGTTCTTCTTGTTCACAGTACGGTAAAAAAAAAACATTTCTGAAAGTTAATGCAGAGGTGTTGAACCCCCCCCCCGCTCACAGCAAAATTTTAGAAGTTAGGTAAAGTTATGCTAGAGAGAAAATTGGGGGAAGGGGTCGTATTCCATGAATAACCCCCCCAGCGCCAAGAGCCCACAGGTTCACCCTCATAGTCAGAAGAGCGCACACGACCAGAGTTCGCGCGACCTCGTTGTAGCGCGTCTTCCATCACTATAAGGAACGCCCACGTTGTTTCAGTTTTTTGTGACATAGGCTGTAGATACTAAGAAACCGAGGTATTTTTTCAGCTGAACCTTACCCGAGCTTCCGAAGATATCAAGCCAGAAGATTCCGTTGAGAATATTCGAAAAGCGCTTGCCGCTGGAGGCTACTGATAACGACGCTCCGAAAATCCCGGCGTACATAATGACGCTTCAGATTCCAATATTTGAAAAGAATTCAAGTATTACTTCAAATTTTCTAGCTAGAGATGCGAAGCAAGCCTACTCCATTATATCTCTTTTATTCCACATTACCAATAGAAACTTAGAGCAACTATGCTAACAAAGTAAATTGGAGTAATTAAGACAAAAACCCATAATTTAGTCAATCCACTGAGATGATTTATCATTGTTAAATTTATTGTTTGCCCCTCACATGCAGATAGAAACACGAAAACGATTGTGTCAAGGTGAAAATATCTCACCAGAAGCATAGACACCTTCCAGGTTAAGTCGAAACATGCGGCCACGCCTACCCGATCTCAGGGATTTCGAGTATGCCAAAATGATAGTTGTGCTCATGGTACAGCATCGTTGTGTGAAACATATAGGGGAGGTCGCACTTCTCCGCTAGAGAGGGGGAGGGTCGTTTTTGGGAGAGGGGTCGTATAGTCTTTGAGAAGAATTTACGCTTCGGGGAAAATTTTCCCGGTTGTTGACTTTCATGATTTTTCCTATTTCATTTGTACTATATACCCTCCCCCACATTGGCTGTATAGCCCCCTCCCTCGACGGAAAACTTTTGGGCGAAAAACTGGAAAATGTGGGAACTTGGTAAGTGGGGGAAGGGGAGGGTCGTACAGAGACCCTCCCTCGAGGGGGGGGGTCGTACCTACACCACCATTTCACACATCACGATGCTTTACCCTGGTTGTGCTATGCTATGTCATATATAGTTTGTAACACTGCAATCAGTCGGGCACGGCGGGAGAAGGATTGGATAAGCCCTCCTCCGGCTACCTTCCTCTACCAACAGTGATCGGGTAGTGATAGGAAGAAAACAACCAGAGGTGGGAACGCCTCAGGTGGGGACCGACTGAATGCGATGATATCAATTGTTTTAATCCTGTAACGCTGTTCTGTGTTTCCATTCACTGTGTACCTAAACTTCAAATTCTTTTCAAAATTATTTCACATGCTTGTAGTTCCTCAATTTCGCTGAACTTCAGTAAACCTGTAGTTGGCATTTATTGTAACAATTTGGTCCTTTGAACGTAACCACAACGGCCTTCACAGTTCAAGGTAGCGACCGCTTAATGATCGATTTTCATCTACAGATCAATTATAGATTACGCGCCCCAATCGCGGTGAATCCGCCCGGTATGCGACGCGGAAACTGGAGCATATCCATTCATTCCACTGGACTATCGTCAACGGTCTCAGATGACAAACCACACCGTCGTGTTCGATGCTGGGAGTTTTATGGGACTGGGTTTGGCGCGGCGCTAGCTTGTGCTTCACCAGTTGTGGAAGCTAGCAGGTGACGGTACAAAGCTGGCTGGCGCCGTCCAGGTCCCCTTCCACCAGCACAACCAGTAAAATTTGCGAGGAAACCCAGCTACATTTTCTCCTTTCAATTTCTTCTCCTTCCAAGGTGTAGTCTTCTTCAGGTTCAGTGTGATCTCGCTTGTACGTTCATTTTGCCCAGATCTGCCACTGCGCAGCTTCTGATCCCGGAAAGCCTCCGAAAAATCGCATCTAACATAATTCTTACCAGTTCTCACACACTGCTATTAGCTATTAAGAGCAGCACTATGGTTTCTTACCCCGCCCATTTGCTAACGGCGAAATGTGCCTTTGGAGAGAGCAAATTTCCCCAATACTTCAAGCCAATCAAACACTCGAGAACGGGAAAATCTTTATTATTGCATAAAAGCGTTACAAAAATTATATACGTACTATTATATATGTAGCATATAGCATATCATAGAAGACTAGAGGAATCAAACGCTTGGCGTCTCTGCATTTGGTAAATTGGCGACTATCAGCTGCACTAGAGATCCTATAGGATGACATTGAAAGCTGCTTTTGTTAACATGAATGGAAAGAAGAATGAAAAGCGAAAGAAACAGGAATTCGTCAAATCACAAAATCGCTCAAAAAGAAGATAGTAGTGCGTCATGACAGCTCCTTAGTCATTTACTCCTTCAGAAGGTGGAACGGCCTCTTTGGGGCTACACGCTTCTCCACCGCATCTAAATGGAAACTCATGAATGAGTACAGAGGCATAAGTAGAAAAGAATGCAAACTGATGCTTGTTAACTGGTATCCACTTGACGCTCCTCGATGCCACTTAAGATAACAGCCTACTTTCAGTCCTGTGATGACCGAGCGAGAGAGCCTACAAAGTACTCGCGCTGCGTCGTTGCGCGCTCGTCTGCACTCTTAACCACATCAGAGGACGTCACCAATGAGGAAAGTTACATTGTGGAGCCTCCGCCCACTTTGCTTATCGGCGGATGTATCCCTTGATCTTAACAAATTCCATACAAGGAAAAAGTCTTACCTCGAACATAGACCTCTTTCTTCATAGCGCAGAATCGACATCGCTTCGTCATAAATCTTCGAATCAGGGAACTCCACCTGCAATAAATCCACCACTGAATTATCTCTTGTAACCCCCTTCCCTGGGCAGCTACAAAATACTTCAATAAAATGAAAATGAAATGAACATCTATGGTTCTGTGCCCAAGCTAGTAAAGCCTAGTGCATGTTGAGGATGGGGCGTCAGGAGAGAGAGGTCGGGTGCAGCGGCAGCCTGTTTCTTTTCGTTTTTCTTTCGGCAAGCGACGAGACTGCATCATACCGTTTGTATCAGTCGTTTTCCACCAACGATTGTCGTTTACCCGCTTCAACAGCTGGTGGAGAGCGGGCTGGCGGCGCGCCAAACCTAGCCTCACTGACACGCCCATCATCCGCAGAGAACGTGACTATCGAAAGGTAGTTCTAACCATAGGTAGTAGTCATCTACCCCATTGAGACAGCTTAGCAAAAGAAGGCCTGACGTTCTGAATAGGCACGGCTTCTATACCCAAACCATTCGCTTTAGTCTTTCCAACACGTCCATGCCCCAGTGGATTAAACAAATCTTTGTCATGACAATCTCTCGCTGTTTCAGCGTTTCTTAGTGCCCGAGCACACACGGCTCAAAGACTCATCGCAAACTACAAAACTTTTGGCGCAGTTCGGCTTAGGAGGGGCATTGGCACTTTCGCTAGTTTGCATCGCCAATTTTCATATTAATGGGTGCGCACCTTTGTCTGTTTCTTATCTGTCGCGTAGACAATAGAAGTGCAGCACACTTCGGCTCGTTTTTCTCCCTTTCCAAAGAATTTCCACTGACACACTTCTGACGACTCCGAACCCACATCTAAACATCACCAAAGTTCATTGAACAAATGAAATGACTGCAAGAGCTTCATCCTATCTAATTTCAAGATTATTCTGGCTTTTGAAACATGAAAATGTGACTCCCACCTTTAACGAATAGAATACGGTCATGGAATTTCACAGCAAGACGATCGAACAATTCCAAATTTTTCATAATGTTATCATCAGACTGACTTGTATAGGAGTATTTGTTGTTGTGACGATTGATCAACAATTTGATGGCCGGCTAGAATTGCAACAGAAATTAAAAAGTGGTTATTTTATGTCCCAATAAAATTCATCACTTCAAATGGGGCATACTCATTGCATTTACTAGTGTTTTGTAAACTAGCACAATACCTTAATAGAGTTGAGAACAAGACGATCAGCTTCAGCTTTTGTATGCACAACAGGAATGCTACATGTTGCCATCGGTTCCCGAACGTCGCGCCTCACTCTCAGTGTCTCTAACCATGACTGGCATTCGGCTGCCAATTCCTAAAAAAGTATCTCTGGCAAGGATTACTACATATCCAAACACTTAGTACATCGAATAAGACCCTCCATCTTCCAAGCTGGACTCCCAATAACAAAAACCATAGCATTCAAATACCAAAATCCGGCTAATTGGCAACCTAAACTGTAAGTCTGCTTATACCACAAAGTCAAGCCAGCGTAGCCGCCTGGTACGCGTCATCGCCCCAACGGGTGTGCCATATAGTTTGGGATGACCTTATAATTACTTTTTCGCACCTCGGCATACTTGCCAGTGGGATACCCCCAGATTAATTGCTTGCACGCTGACTGGTGACCTCTCATCAAGTTACTGACTATGAGTTAAGTGAATAAGATAAGTGAAGAGTCATATAGAATGAATTTTCAAATGGGTGAGTATCCCACTGTGTATAATTCGCTAAGTTTATTTGTTGGTGTGTGGGTGTTTTTTTTGAGGAAATCCATGAATTCCTTTGATTCAGCCGGAGAGAGTTCGAATTGGTAAGTGATACGGGGGAGGGGGGGGGGGTGGACGGGAACATGGATGATGGATGATGGGTGGGGAAGTGATAACAGCTGACATGGGGTCTTAAAGATGGAGGGTCACCAAGTTCATAACTTGCTGTGGAGCGTTGATTCCAAGAAGTGACATAGGGGGTTGGATATGAACTTCATTGGTGGGTGGCAGGAAGTGATATTAGCTGACAAGGGATGATAATGGGTGTTAGGTGAAGGTCGCCAAGTTCATAACGTGGGTTTCAGCATCGCTGGGATGTTTAGTCCTAAGAAATGACATAGTGAACGTATGGGTCATGAATATTATTTATGAGTGGCAGGACGCATTAAGAATTATTATGATCTGAGAAGGGAATCTGAAACTCAAGCGTCGCCCGTCACAGTAGCAGCAGGAAATTGGTTCCAATGAGTGATATAGTGGATGTGACGGGGTTATTACTGATGGGTCACAGAGAGGGATAACAACGGATAGGGGCAGATAAGAGGCGTTACCCTCTTCCACACTACCGAATCATAAAGATTTTGTGGTAATGGAGGTGACAAAGGATTATATCCTGATGGGCGTAAATAAGAGATAAGAGCTTATTTCCTCCTAATTTTTTTACCACTATACTTCTAGGTTCACCGTATTTCAGGCCAAGTATACAGCACCTATTGTTTTACTGCACGTCCAACCAACGGGAGGGGGAAGGGTAGTTCACGTGAGGTCTACACCACAATCAAGAAAAGAATCAGCGATAATTATACGAGAAAGAAAAAACTTAGCATTAATCGCGATTCACTATGGTAAACATTTCGCATTTTTTTTCGCGCCAGGCGCGCAGTAGTGTGCGCCAGCCAAACTGGTGTTTCAATAAACCAAGTAATGAGGTTTTTATTCATTCCATATCTCGTTATTCTGTCTTGAGTGAGCCTGGCAGTGAGAGGTCACCAGTCAGCGTGCAAGCAATTAATCTGGGGGTATCCCACTGGCAAGCATGCCGAGGTGCGCGAAAAGTAATTATAAGGTCATCAAACTATATGGTCACTCCACCCGACATGACAAGATTCTACAGCGAGAATCTCAGAAAGATATAGTACAGCAATTGCCTGAGCGTAGTATGGCGCAAAGGGTCAAAAGGAGTAGATTCGAGATGGTGGGCCTTCGTATTCCGTTTCAGGAAGTACATGGGCCAAATGGGACCTTATACCGCTTTATGCTGCTCTCTATACCCGATGGGATTCAAAAGATAGATAACAGTCAATACCAAAATCGCACTTACCTGCACAAGATAATACCGGGCTTCAGCTAGAATTTGTTCGACCTCTACACGGCAATCAGGTAATGGTACAAATCCGTCACGAAGGAAATCCAGTATGATGCCAAAATGTCTTCCACTTCTATCGATTAACACCCAGCCATTGGAGTCAGTAACTACCTGGAAACACTTTGAATTAGCACCGCATTTGCACTATTCTCCACGCAGCATGGCAGCTCTGCATCTAGAATTGCTCTGAGAAAAGAAACTTGGTGATGTTTATTTATATAAAGACCTTTACTCGTTACAGTCACCTTCCTTATTGAAAGTGTCGAAAAATGACGACCGTTAAGGAAACAAGAAGATCAAGGGCAGTATACCTGCATTCGTCCACTGAACATCGCCCGTAACATCGTGTCATGTTTTGTAAGTGTGCCTACTGTTGTCTGGAAATAGAGCACCACCTACATTGATCTTGACGTAACGGTCCGCCAGAGCATCGATCTGTAAACAGTATATGCTGGAAAAGAACTGAAAACTTTGACTTGGCATATTACTTTTGGTTACTTCCGACTCATCACAGGTCTCAGGAGCCCTTCGGCTTGGAAGGGCATTTCGCACTTTTGCTCGTTCATGTGAACTAAAACGTCTGTTTGGCTGCAAACCTGTAAACTCTTGTGAACCAGCGAAATGGTTAAAAAAATATGCCGTTTTGCTTACAAGAATTTACAGGACTTCAAAGTGTGCCCGTACAGGACTGAGGACTTTGCTGCCCCTACCAAGCCGATCTGCGCCGGTCTACTGCATATAATGAAAGTTTAGGCACTATTTACCCTTTACTGCCCCAATCTTCCAAAAACAGGCCAGTTTTTGACCGACTTCTTTCTGCATTGGCAGAATTGGCTAAAAATTTGTTTCCTGGGTAGTTCGACCTCCTGAACATGAATATCACATCCGCTCATCACGAAACCTCCTGGCGCCCGCGCCACAGGCGCCGGCGCCAAAATACCCTAAATCACCAAATTCGCTGAAAACTTGTTCTCAGGGGTAGTCTGACCTCCTGAACACGAATATCACATCCGCTCGGCCCGAAACCTCCTGGCGCCCGCGCTACAGGCGCTGGCGCCAAAATACCCCAAATCACCGGCGCCTGTGGCGCGGGCGCCAGGAAGTTTCGGGCTAAGCGAATGTGATATTCGTATTCAGGAGGTCAAACTACCCCAGGAGACAATTTGAGCCAAATCTGTCCACGGAGAAAAAAGTCGGTCAAAACTGGCTCAATTCTGGATGGTTGGGGCAGTAAAGGGTAAATAGTGCCAAAAAGTTTATATTTGTGCGTTGGACAGAAGTATGCACAATTGCTTTTTTCGGAAATTTCAAAAAAGAACAAAGCAGACGCCAATGCAGCTCGGCCAAGGGAGAGGGGAGACCGTGGCGGGGCGACTAAATCTGCACTTTCTAAATTATTTGACTAAAACAGTCCCTGCTCAGCCTTTAGAAAGCGCAAATAACCAAAACCCGTTAGGCCGCGTTCATAGCTTGCGTTCGTGAAGAAATGCAGAAATGCGGAAACTGCAGAAGTGCGGAAAGTGCGGAATCTGCAGAAATGACGAAAAGCAATAGATACGTATCGATCTGAAGAAATGCAGAAATGCCGAAAGTGAAGAAGTGCGGAATCTGCGGAAATGCCGAAATTGCGGAAAATCGATACGTATGAATTGCTTTTCTGCAGATGAATTGCTTTTCTGCATTTCTGCAGATTCCGCATGTCTGCACATTCCGCACTTCTTCACTTTCGGCATTTCTGCATTTCTTCAAATCGATACGTAACGCTTTCCGTTCATTTCTGCACTTTCCGCACTTCTGCAGTTTCGGTATTTATGTATTTCTTCAAGCCGGTAAGTATCTACTGCTTTCCGCATTTCTGGATTTCTTCACGAACGCAAGCTATGAACGCGGCCTTATACCCTCACTGAATGTCAAATTCTCCAACCCCTCTCTCCCAACTTCAGTAGCGACAATTACACAAGAACTCACCACTTCGTGACAGTTCTTCGCGTCCGGACGCCATTCTTCAGCTTCTTTGAATGCAGGTGAAGCCTCCATTCCCCGACATATCTGAACTGCACATTTTCGAAGGCAAAATTTTTTCCACGGGGCACATAACAGTGAAATTCTCCTTAAATAAAAAAATAGTTTTGGGTTTGTCGTTTCGCTGCGCTGCCGGGATTTTGATAAGCCGCCAAATTCCCTCGAGGTGATCGTGAAAGGTGACTGATACGAACAATAACAGTCTTGTCGCTGTCCAATGACAGTCCCTGTCGCTCGCAGAAAGAAAAAAAAAACGAAAGAAATGGGTTGGCGCTGCATCAAACGCAACACACAGCGGGGACACGCCCCATCATCCAGCGAACCAGACTATATAAACAGGCCATCGCGGTCATTTCAAAACTTCAAGCAACCAAAAATACCGTTCAGTGGTTTAGCAACCTCTTATCCAATCATTTAGTCTTGTCAATAGAACATTTATTTCACTTTTGACCGCGAGCGTTGTGGAAATTTCACGATCTCAACAACCATACATAACAACAACAATGATGCAACAACAACAAAACAGAAAACTGCTGAAGACGATTCACAGTTAATTAATAATAACTTTATACAGAAACAACTTTTCACGCAGCCCGCCGTTCCAGTATATTTCGCTTTCTTCATGACTTTTTTCTTCTTCTTTTTCTTGTCGATCATCGATACACGATTTTTTGCGCTTCTTCGTCCAGAGGTTCGTCCTTTATTTCGAACACCTTAAACGGACCACTAATGTATCAATCATTTCTATATGAAACAATACAATCTGAGTTGATTGGGACTATTAAGGAGGTTTTTAATCAAAGGTAAGGCTTCCCGAGCCTACTATGTTACTCAAAGCAGTACTTTTCAATTAGGCTAGACATCTTGGTGCAGCCCATTCGACGCACTAAAAACCACGACAAGGAGCGCCAAGGCAAATGTCGAGTTTTGTTTTGTTTAAGCTTAAGGGGAAGGTGATGCCGGTGAAAGTGTGGACAAAGCCTATGCAAAAACGTTTCGAATTAGAGCACCACGATAAAGTTACTCCACCCAACACAATATGCTGCCACACCAGCCATAACTTAGGATACAATGTTCAATCCCCCCCCCAACCCCGTTAGTTCCCGAAGCCGTCATCGCCACCTACAAGGCCCGGCTGGAAACAAATTCCGTTCACTGTTCCCTATCCCCCTCCCCCCCCCCCCCCCCCCCCTATCCCTCATCCCAAATACCAGTTTAGATCTAGATATCAGCGCTTTGAGAGATTGTTTTTCAAAGAATGAGATAAACGAACCTCGCCTACGGGATCCTCCACTTTCTCAGCAATCACTTCCTTGATCTGTTGTGCTTTAGAGAGCGCAGCCTGGAATCACCATTCGTCCAATCACAATACTGACGAATAAATTCAACGAATTGCTTTAAGACTACCTTCTTTGACAACTGTTTCTCAATATACTTTCCTTTGCCGAGCAATTTGAGTGCTCTCCGTTTTGCATTTGGACTTTCATAATCTGGATTGTCATACATACCGCCACCTTTCAAACGATCCGGCAAATATCGAATCTGAGTTTCAAAAACGAATCGGAGTGCCTGTAAGCTATAAGAAACTGATTTAGTTCAAGTAAAACGGACTGATCCCTAATCAAGGAAGACTGTGGGGAAAACTCGCTTTAGTGCTTTGGTTAAAATACATCAAGGTGAACGAATTCATCTTTGCTATTGCCAATCAGCTCGTTCCACAAATGGAAAGCAAGCCATTTTGTGGACGAGCTGCTTGCCATACAAAAATGATTCAGATCCCTTACTCGATGGAAAGAAAGGAACAAAAACGAAGAACTGTGGGCCACTTCTTACACCTTAATACTGCTATGTAGTTGAATAGCTGATTGAATTAAAATAAAATAAATGGTAAAATTAAATCAACGTTTTCATAGCCCCGGTAAAATGCAAAACAACGTAGAGCGAGCAAAAAAAAATGCTCACCAATCTCTTGTAACTGCAGAGTTTCGTCAACTATTTGGAAATTTCTGAACCAAATTTTCAGATCTGGAGTTACCGAGAAAGAGAACACATGATCGAAGAATGGCTGACTGCGCGGATGATGATTAGGTGTGCCAAACGTCTGAAAACTGAAAAACTAGGAAACTATTCAAAATTGAAGTAATCACTACAATAGAAAAAGACAGCATAGCAGCGGAAGAACAGAATAGAGGCATAAAATATGAAAATTTCAACTGTGACAGAGAAAACCATAAGTCTTCGATTCAACAAGTACAACAAAGCTGCGAGATAGAGAACAGTCTGCTGTAAAGGTGTGAAAATCATTTTGAAAAGGAGGTCAGATGTAAAAGGTCATCGCAGCCAACGCTATTTCCTTCCCAGCGGTCAAGTGGATAGGCGGGCTAAGGTTCGTGAAATAAAAGGGTGATAGAAGGGAAAAATCGAATAAACACTGCGCACATTTGTCCAGAAGTACGGAAAGATGAGAAAAAGCAGAAGCTGTAGATTGCGCTACCATTGGAAAGTACCTAATCGCTAGGCTCATTTTCAAGGTCCAGAATTAATCCAGTTACGCTGACTAGCCTTTTTCAAGTGATCAATCTTGATCCACTCCCACTTTTGCCCCCCCCCCCCCCTTCCCCTTCGTTGCTAGATTGTTCGAAGGAACGTATCCGTAAGCATACAAGAGGAAATCGATGCTGCAAGCGAACGACGCGGAGAGCGAATCGCGCATAATTTATACTTCCGACACAGTGGAATAAAGAATGAGGACGATTGAAAATGCATCGAGCTCAACCTTAGATACCAACTAACGTGAAAAATGTAATAAGGAATAAGAATGCGGCCAGTCCATTGTTACACTGACATTCCGTACTATAGTTCAACATTGTATAATAATAAGTATTCAACAAATTCAAGGAATTTCAGCAGCGCACTACTGAAGCATCAAGCAAGTAAATCTCGGCACTGTTTGGTCTGGCTTGGGAGGGGCATTTGCACTTTTGTGTCATACTGGTCAGTATTAACACGTTATGCTCTGGAGACCTGTAGATTCTTCTCAGCTGCAAGCGAAGCTCGTGCCATTGTACAGATTTACAGGCAGGGCACCTCCTGCCGCCGGGAGAATTTTCGGAGAATACGACCCCCTCACCCGCTCCCGTAAAATGATCCCTTTCTCATCCACCTTTCTAAATTCCCCCACCTTCCTATTAGTTTTTACGGAAATTCCCAAAAACTTTCCGGTTTTTCCTCTGAAGCCGTCGAGCGGGTTGGGAGGGACTCGTCACTAACATACTACTTTCAACTATTGAAAACAGTAGGCTACAATAAGTGCTGAAAAGTCCCCAAAGGAGTATGGAACATGTGTGAAAAGGCAAAGAAAAGTCATTAAGCGGAAGAAAAACTCTATACACAGCAATTTTCTTTCAAAACTCAACACAGCGCAGGCAAATAAACTCTCTCTCTGTCCCCCTCCCCCACCTCCTCCTCATATCAACAACAAGCAACTACGCCTCCACCCCTAGAATTCTCCCAACGATGTGTATAGCGCCCGTGAAACAAAAACAACTATAGA